TTGGACATTTTGAGATTAAAAGGTCGCCGCTAATTTCATGTATTCGTGTCTTAGAATCAGGCTTAAATGGGTCAAAGAATGGCTTTGATCCCTTTAAGTTTAACTGAAACTCTAACAAAAAAAAGCTCATTTAAAACATACATGATTTTTTTTCGTTGATAAGCTGGTTTCAGAGACTTTCAGTAGATCAAATAATATGTGATTTATTTACCCTATTTGTTTAAGGTCATAATTTTCCCATAATTATATGATTAGACCTTGCCTTCCCAAAAGGCATTCTCATCCTGGCTGAAGTGGACGAGTTTCGATCTCGCCTAAACTTGTCCAATCAGCACCCTCAGCGGGACTTGAACCGTGACAGTGTCACGAGTAAACCTAACACGATAACCACTAACCCACATTGACCCTAGTCTCCTTGGGTCGCAGGGCAGATATGAATTTTAAGGAAGGTTAGGAATTTCTCTATAATACATTCTGTGGTTGGATTGTCGATGAAGACAAGCTATGTCTTCTATAGCTTTCGACTAATTTAATTATTTTTCCCTTATAAGGTTTTCGAGACTACAAGTATATCATATATATGAGATTTATTCACCCTAAATGGAAAAGTTTGGTTTATTGCTAGCATTGTGGGAAAATTGAACCGCCAGTCGCAGTATCACCTTAAACGAAATATGGTGAATAAATTACATATTTATGATCTAATTCTTTGCACATATTAAATCAAATCATTTTTGTAGTTGCAGATAGATGCCTGGCACTTATTCCATTCATCGGCCATTTCTGTGATAAGAGAACGCAATTTGTGATCTTCCTCGCGGTCAGTAAGAGAGATGATGACACATCTTGTAATTTGACGTGGCCCCCTAGACAGAAGCTGAGTTTCCTTTACTCTTGGCTGTTCATTTTATGTTCATTTGGTGTGTTGTCATTCCGTCCTTTGCAAGTTCCGGTTTAGCATGCTTCAGAGGCGTAAGAAAAATCTCTTATACGATGACTGTTGACGTACCTGCAAATAGCGTTCGCATCTATTGATAGCATGAATTGACAAGTTCATCTTTATCCTCTCCTCCATTCTTGAGTCGGCGATGTCAGGCATTTCGCTGGTGAGCTGTGCCGTGTAGTGGTAGTCAACCACCGTCCCGGCAGCAGGTTCACCGACAGGTATCCCATTATCGTCGAATTCGCTGGGACAAAGTCCGATTCCGATTTTGTAGGCCACTGAATTTATGATAAATGGGGTTAGAAAAATGGAATGGTAAAGAATGTGAGAATATGAGAGGATTATGCAGAAGAAAGTGGAACAAAATAAAAAAAGAATAGAAGGGAGGAGGGGAGAAAGGAAGAGAATTGAAAAGTATACAATAGTAAGGAAAAGTATTAAGCATAATAGTATCGAATAGATTGAAATTGAATTGAATTGATTTTAATTTAGAAGAATGGAGTAGAAT